TCCATTCTGAAACCATGTGCGACCACTGATTTACAGCTTGCATCGTACATATCAGCTGATCCTAGGCGTGAATCAGCGAGAAAGCGTCGGACACGTAACAAATGTTGCACTGAAGTTCTCACGGGGTCATTTATAGCCAACTGGCCGGACAATTGAACTTCAGCTCTCGCGCTCTGCAAAATAATGGGTCTGTCTAGAAGCAGCTACAAACGACACTTATCTGCCATGACTGGCACTTAGGTAATGGGTCAGCTGGGCCCGGTACATTGTGAGTGGCACCGGCCCACCTTGACACACTTTCTGCGGTCACAACGCTGAGGCAGGAACCGTGCTTACCACAAGGCAAGGCAACAGATTTCGTCTAGCATGCAACTTCAAAAACAGATCGACTAGCGAAGTAGCTTATTTCGTCTTTTGTAAGAGGATAACAACACTGGAACGCCGCTGATCTGTCTGCACTTTTAAGCTAAGGGTGACGATGCTCGTCACAAAGAGCAGGGGTCAGCCGGAAGTACTAATACAGGAAATTCTAAATCAGACAATCGTTGTCCCGATCGGTTCGGTCAATGTCGTCGTCTGGCTAATGACCATTTTTATGTCAGTAGGTCATGCGGTGGACGAACCTTCGACCAAGCCAACTGGAACATCGTCCTCAGACGACGGCTAAGGCGAAGGCCACCGAGTGACGAGGGACGGCAGGCGTCAAGATGATGTGAATAAACTTTTCAGTTGCATTTCGCTACGATTACGTTCGCTGAGTGACGACGACCCGGCCGCCACCTCGTCACAAATCGACCGGCACAACGTGGTCCGGCGGCGTGTCGATTTACGCTCAATTTCGCCCGGAACTAAGCCGTGAATCTCAATTGACAGAGTCCGTGTTGCAGTCATTTTACGCAGAGCAGGTCATTCAGGCACCGTCCGCACGAAACCACCCGTCAAGTCGTCGCTTTCCTCGTTCATCGGCAGGCGGTCGTTGGTCGGTCATCATAAAGATGCCACCACTTGACCCTCTTCCGTACGGTTTTTTGACTCTGACTGCGAAGGTGAGTGAGTATCTGAACACCTTAATGCATCCGTGTGGCAATCGCTTCCCTTTTCGACAAACGAAACGAGTTCATTTCTTCTCACACGCCGCAACTACCGAACCCATTGTTCATCCGCATTCCTCCTTTCGAAGGAGCCATTGTGCTTCAAAGTAGGATGGCATCAGCGCTCCGACCATTTCCGTTTTACTCGTTGGCTTCCCAGCCGCTTCGAAACCACTGGAACAACGACTGCGAGGCGTTTGCTGCTGAAAATAATTCACCACATACATGTCTACCAGATTACCACCTTGATTTTTCTGGAAAAACAGAATGTGTCCATGGTTTCCGATGTCGGCTTCATTCGCAGCTTTGCAGCGCCTTAGCTAAACGGCACAGATTATTCAATTGTAGAGAAGCAGTTCCCCTTTGACGCATGCCTATTGGTCCACTCGACCGCGTTTCAGCTTCCACACGGTAAGCTCATGGACTGAAGTAATTGGTTTATGCTCAACGAGTTTATTTAACCTGCTAATCCAATAAGACTAGAAATAGGACATAGTCGTTTTTCAGCAGTTCCTAACCCTCAAAACGCGTTGAAGCCAGCGTCGACGTACGCAATCACTCGTTTGAACAACTGTCTCCATGCCATCCAACAACGTTCCCCCCAGATCGAGGAAAGGTGCAGGCGGAATTCTGCAGATGGTCTTACGCCTTCCTCGTTTAAGCATTGGACCAAATACTGGTTGTCAAAAGCAATTCAAGGTAGGGCGATAATTCTGATTAGAAATGGCTGGATGAAGCAGAGGACCACTTGAACTGATGACTCTCCTGAACCACTTCGCCATTCTGTTATACTGGTATCTCAACTGTGCTGGATGGGTTCTTCATTATCTTTAACTTTCAGAGTCGAAGAAGAGTCTGACTTTCGCAGCTGCTTTGCATGGAATCGTCCTCATGATAATATCACCTGCGCGATCCTGGTTAGCAGGATATCTGGAACTTCGCCTTTCCTCTAGAATAAGGTCTTAATGTCTTCCAGTGTCTGCATTGTTTCGGTGGAAACCTCACATCATGTGATGATCACTGTATGCACTCTGTTTAGCAAGAGATCTCGTTACTAATTAAACCCAGTTATTTTCATCATGGACTATCTGCTGCTAAAATACATCACACTTTCCGCTTGTTCGTCTCATCATTCCCGTTTGCAACGCTTTGTCTTACTGGGCTTTTCTAATTATTCATTCACTTATGCAAATCGTTTGCATTCAATTGGTGCAGTTCTTCTGAAGCTCTTTTCCAATCCTATTATGTTCTGTATTTCGAGAAGTATCGCCATTTTTTGCCCTATCGAACGTACTGAATTTCTTTGAACACATCTAAAATAAGTTGCGCGCAGTCAGCCATATGTTTTCACATCTTAGCTTGGTCTCATTAAGTTAGAACATATTTATATGTATTTGCATGTGCAGCCAAGAAATGACAGTTTCCCACCCTGAAACAGCGCTTGCCCATTGTCATCACCACAGCACATTTGCTCAAAGCTATTTGTCATTTTAATACTGTCAATGTAAAACAATGGAAATGAGATGATAGAGGTAAAATCTGCGAAAGAGGAAAGTATGCGGTCGCCAAGAAGGACAATTCTTAATTGTTGTTGCAGAAAGATTGAAAGAAGAATGGCAACTCATGACCTAGACATTATTTGATGTTATTCAGAAACGAAGAGAAAAAGTCTATTTTCCCGTACCTTGGATGGTCAAGACCAGAAAATACAACCAGAAAAACTTGTCATGCATCAATTATATTCCCAGACATATTGCCACTGTGTGTCGCGCTTAGATGTCCAATTAAGAATTCAAACCATCACCTATTGAATGATCTAAGCTTCAGGAAGACCTTTAAAGACTTTTAGCATTTAACACAAATGTTTGGCAATGAGTACGTGACAGGATGCAATGCGAAGTACTTTATTCCGGGAGGAACTTCCAACGCGCTTCTCATTACTTAACAACCAGTTCTACCCTGAACGTAAGCATTGACAACTGTTTAACGTTTGGACTTTCATTTTATTTATGACCACGTTAAGGTCGTAGAAAACCTACCCTAATTGCTTGATATGTTATTCACATAATCATAATTTTGAAGTAAATATTTCAAGTAATTAGAATAAGTATTAATGTATATGAGTAACAACGTATAAAAACAAATGGAGCAGTGAAACTGATTTTAATTTGAAAACATGATAAAGAATGTTGAAAGTTCAGCGAGGGAAAATGAATTTGTGGGAGGAGAACATCAATCTTTTAATTGTCAACTGTAATTAATTTTTGTGAGGCCATTCACATAAACTGTCTAAATGTTTGAGGGAGAAACCTGCTTTGACTGCTCTTTCTCTATTTACAAATGCGGCGATGTCGACTATCGGTTGCTTTGATGGCCCCATTCATCGTCCTCAATGTTTTCATTGTCTCTAACAATTTAAAATGCGATCAGAAACCTTGGAATACTCAAGCATGTAGTCCATGGTTTAAAATACGTCACGAAGGAAGCATATGTTATTAAGGCAGAAAAATGGTATATGAGCGGTTTTCTGTTTGCTATAAAACTTGTTGACGAGATATAACTTCGCGTGTGGTTTTCGACACTGTTCCCGACTTTCTCTTTTGCAACAATGCTGACCCCTC